AATATATTGAGATCTCACCATCGCCTCGCCCCTTTTTTTCAATTTTCGTATCCAGCGTTATGTAATCTTTCAAATTAAAAGCATGTAACAACAGATATTCGTTTCTCTCCGCTCTTCCGCCTAATAGCGTCCTTGATAAAATGTTACCCATATTCATTCAATTCGCAAAAAATTATAATTGCATTATTATATTTTATAAGTGAAATGAGAAATATAATGAAATGTACCTGCTAAACAAGTGATTTGAAGCGCGAGCAATATATTGAGATCCATCACTATAATCATAATGTATTTTGCTTCTTTTAACGTCACATGCATTAGATTTAGCACTTTGTCCGCTGTATTGAAAAAGGAGATGGAGTTTCCGCTGGCGTGATCTCTTTACATTCGTGTTCCTTCGTCTTTAATACCTAAATATTTGTCAAAATTAAGTTGTTTGGTCGGATGAACAATATAATACCAATATTACGAGTATCGTATGACTTACTGCACTGCAGAGTGATTGCAGATCATAACTTCTGACTTTTAAGTTCAATTCCTTCGCCGAAACTTGTATATCACAAATTGGACGACCAACAAATCCTTGATTAAGGATTATTTTCCCCTGTATAAATATTACATGTATTATTTTATGTTAAAGAATATATCTTATTTACATTAAAGTTTCTCTCTCTCTCTCCCCCTTTCCCTCTTCCTCTCCCTCTCTTACTAATTACATAAAAATATTTAGGTTAATAATATTTAGGTAAAAGTGAATTATAGATTACTTAAAAAATTGGTAATTTGTCAGAGAAAAATTTATAGTTCGTGAAAGTTAGTATTTAGGGGAAAATGAATTAATTTCTTTTGCAAATTGGTAATTAATAGAAATAAATTCTTTATTATTAAAATAATTAATAATTTATCAAAAATAAATTACTATTTATTTGAAAATTAATAATTAGTGGAAAATAATTATTATTTTTTTCAATAATAAATAAATAGTCAGGTAAATTACTTATATTTTAAAAATTATTAATTTGTTAAATATAATAATTTAATTATAATGTGATTTAAAAAAGGTAATTATGAAGGAGAAGGGCTTCCTCACTGATTTTGCTAAAATTTCACAATTTTATGTATTTTAGTAAAACATGAATCTGTAAGTTAAAATTGTCGCTTTCAATTAGGAAAAAAGTTATTAAGTACTAAAATTGATAGCTGCGTGGTTGGAATGTCTGTCATACTAACATAATGTAGATGTACATGATCATGCGTAGTGACGTAAAAGTGCATGAAATTATAGTAATAATACAGTATAACAACAATCTGCCCTATAATAGACTGGCGCCTTATTTTAATTATGTGCTATTATTTGACTTTGTATTTATTATATTTTGTATTTATATAGACTTTTCAATATACCAATTATTTTCTGCTTTTTTTATAGCAGAAAATAATTGGTATATTAAGAGCCTATATAAATACAAAGTCAAATAATAGCACACAATTAAAGTAAGGCGCCAAACTATTATGACAAACTGTTATACTGCACTATTACTGTAATTCCATGCATTTTTACGTCACTACGAATGATCTTGTGCATCTACATCATGTCAATATAACAGACATCCTAACTACGCAACAATCAATTTCAGTATTTAATAACGTTTTTCCTAAAATTGAGAGCAACTGTTTTAACTTACAGATTTATGTTTTAACGCACCAAAATATACAAAATTGTAATATTTCACCCAAATCGGTATAAGGAAGACCCTCTCCTTCATAATTACCTTAAAAAATAATTATGTTAATGTTATATATAATATTCCCAAACAATAATTTAATTATAATTATATTGCAATCTTACCTTGTTAAAAACTTCATTACCAAAAAATTCGCCATACTCCAAAGTAAAGTCTCAATGTGTAACAGAATTCAAAAAGTTAGTATCTAAATAAAGAAAATCGTGTATGCGCTCAATCACGAGAAAATCCATTATCCGCCAGTCTTCAAATATCTGCAGAAAAAATCCTCTGATGACTGACAATGAATGAAATATAAAAATTCGAGGTAAAGTTTGCATTAAAAATATAAACTGGTTTGTCCACCACTTCCAAAAACTTTACTATTATAATTTTTATTATAATATATTTAGATTAAATATTAATTAATCTTTTTAGAATCTAATCTTTTTTGTGTGTGAGAAGAACATATTAATTTAATTATTTTTTAAAATGTTACAGATCACTGAATACGAATATAAAATTTACCAAAATTTATTTTGTTGTTATTGCTTTCGTGAATATTTAATATTTCCAGACACCAAGATATAAAATTAACGTCTATCATAATATAATACACTCGAATCAATTAATATTTTAACTTGCCTGCAATACAAATTGCGCTACAGATCACTTTCTCGTTCTCTTCAACTTTTACAAGACAGCATATGCATGCGTGTGTGATTTTGGATGCACCTTCCTTTTTAAAGATCTCCTCGGCATCAGCTCCCTGCCGTCAATATACATATATTTCACTATCACTATCTATCACGCGGCGATGCTCACAACTGTCACTATCTATTTCTAGGTTATCGCTGTATTCCAGATTCCAGCATAGGTCGGTCTTTCTTAAAACAGCTTCATGCATCTGTGATTGAGAAAAAAATCTGATAAACTCTGTATACCAGCCCATATATATATAAAATATATGATTACAAAGATAAATATAATTTACTGTTCTGTATCAAAAATCTATAGTTATACTGTAACGTATACCTTAGATTAGATTTGTACGAGCAAGCAATAAATATTGAAACATTATAGATGACGTTAAAAGATATTAATATGTAAAATATAATTTACATATATTTATTTATTTAGTAATAATAAGATGTATATTATATAAAATCCTACTAACCTCGCGAGACACCACGCGAGCACACGTCATTGCGTTAAAAGATATTACAATGTAAAATATAATTTATATATATTTATTTACCACAATATTACCCACATACATTATATATAATAAATAAATAATCCTACTAACCTCGCAAAACACCACGCGAACACACGTCACGTCACGTCACGCGATACACACCACACGCGAAACTCGCCAAACTCGCCGCCCGCGATCTCGATCGCCGTCAATCATAATTCAATTCGGAATTAAATGATTGTATTTTTAATGATGAGAGATCACATCAATATTAACATCGCGACACGACGCGAGCTGTCACATCACGATTCCGCGACACTCACGACACACACGCACGAAACTCGCCGACCAAACTCGCCGCGATCTCGATCGCCGGCTTCGGCTGACCAATCACGTACGCGGAAAAGCGGCAACACTACATGCGAGATATTCGACTCGCAAAGCTCACTTCTCGGTCCAAATGGATTTTTTTATTATGGACTAGAACAACACAGGCGCGCGCTACGCGCGCGCTTTTATTTTATTTCACGAATGGAACAACACAGGCGCGCGCTACGCGCGCGCGTTTATTTTGTTTCACGAATATACAACCATACATTTTTTATATTTTTATTAGAAGTGAAGAGGTAAGTCGCTAATATCGACATAGGTCCTCTAAAGCGACGCCTTCTTATTTCTCGAAAATTAAACACCGCACTTTATTAATGCTGATGAGGACATAATTTACTTATATAATTAAAAACGTAAAAACCTTTACTTTATACATTTATTGATTTTTATATATAAAATCTGCTAAAAACGAATCATTCAAAAGCAATTATTAAAAATAAAATTTACCCAAATCTCTTTTACTAATTGTACAATTAAATAATAATAAATATATATTATTGATAATATTAGATTATTTTACATGTTTGTGTAACGTCCTAAAACTATTTAAATTTTTTTTTTCTTATATATATATAATGCAGTTTTATATTTAAATAAAAAATTGAGATGCAACGTAAACTGGCATACTTATTGATAAAACAGATTATAAGGTAGTAAAAATCAAATAGAATAGAATAAAAAACACAGCACAAGAAGATCTTGCTGCGAAATTATGAGATAAATTTACTGGCATGCTGTCGGCATACTGCTAACATTTTGCTACGTGGGGTAAAACAATTGTGAAGCAACACACAGTAACAGACTACGAAGGTAGAAAACAAAAGGTTTCGAGTTTAAATCCTGATCGACTCTGTTAATTTTTCCGTTTACCCCTCTCGCAGTCCAAAATTTCCTTCTGTATCTTTCCTCCACCCTCACTACACTCCTTGTTTACTCGTATATTTCCATGATCCTCTTTCCCAACCTTTCACTCACCCCTGGTTTTTCCAGACATCTTCCCAAAACCCTCCTGTCCACTGAATCAAATGCCGCCCTTGGATCTACAAAAGCAGCCACTACCTTCTTTTTCCTTTTTAATCGCTTCCTTATCGCATAATTCAGTGTGTAAATGTTGTCCACCACTCCTCTCCTCTTCCTAAACTCTGCTTGGTTTTCTGAAATCATCCCCTTCTCCACTATCTCTTTCCTCAACCTATTTGCTAATATCGACGCGTACACTTTGTACGCCGTCGGCATCAGCGTAATCCCTCTATGCTCACTCACCTCTTTTGCCTCTTTTTTTCGCTATCAGAACGACTACTCCGTCCTTTCACGCTTCTGGAAAACACTCTCTTTTCCATACTCTCCCATAACGTTTTTCTTAAACCACTTCCCCCATAACTCCACACTTCATTTCCTATCTCGTCCTCTCCCGCCGCTTTACCTTTTTTCAGCCCTTTCAGCACTCTCTCTACTTCCTCCCATTCTATCTTCTTCTCTTTCTCCAGTTTCCCCTCCAACCCCTGCTCTCCCTCCTCTCCTTCTCCTAGCCTTCGTTTGTATTCCGCTCCTTCTAACATCTCCCTAAAGTATTCATCCCACTCCTCTAATGTTATCTCCTTATTAATTTCTACCTTTCTTCTCCATTCCTTGTTTATTACTTCCCACACCTGCTTCTCTGTTCTCGCCTCTCTTGCTTCTTTCAGCAGATTTCTCTTTTTTCTTCATTTTTTCTCACACATTTCCTTATACTCCTTCTTTCTTCTCTTATGATCTTTGTGTTTTCTTCCTCTTTTCCAGTCTCTTAATAACTTTTCTACCTTCTCCCTCTTCTTCCTACAATCCCCATCCCACCATACTCCCTTTCCTTCTGCCCCTCTTTTTACTCTTCTCACCCTTACTTCCATCTTCCTCTTTATCTATTGTCTCCCTACCTATTTCTACTTCCTCCGTCCTTCTTCTAAACTCCTCTCTTACTTCTTTCGACCAATCCGTCTTTTTCACCCACGTCTCTCCCTCCGCTATTGTCCCTCTCCTCTCACCAACCCCCCCTTTGTTCAACCGTACTGCTACTGATTGGTGATCCGAATCTACCTCACACCCCACCTCTAATCTTGTCACTATTTCCCAAGCTTTTCTATCTCCTATTGCGTAATTGATCACTGTTTCCCCCCTTCCTCCTGTAAAAGTCGCCTCCCCCTCCTTACCTCCCTCCTTTGCTCCGTTCATAATTTCCCACCCTTCCTCTTCCACCCATCTAATCAGCCCTTTTTCCTACCTATTTATTCCTACCATTTTATCTTTCGATTTTCTTTCAGCTCCCTCTTTTCCATCCTCTACAGATACCATAGCGCATGCGCATATGGCTTCTGCCTTCTGCTTATGGCTCCTGCAATTTTATGTGCTTCCACCTTTACTCTTCACCCACAATGTCGCCACCTCTCAACCGCCTGCCACTTCACTTTCTTTCTAAGGTGTCCTTAACCTCTTTCTGACCACCCACCGTTACTAACTAATATCTCCTCTCTTACTCATCCTTGCTTTTCGCTACCACTTCCACCACCTTTGCCACTTTTCCCTTCTCTCCACCACTACTCTCCTCTCTGCTGCTACTCCTAATCTCACTCTACGCCTTATTTTTTCGCTCTCTATCGCGCTCGCTAATCACCCGTTTCCACTTCTATACCCTCTCCCTCTCCCTTTCTTATTAATTATAAATCACATATTATTTTATTTTTTAGACTCCCTTGTAATTTTTCAATTTTTTTCATTCTTACTTACTCTCTCTCTCCTTCTATTTCATTTTGTTTTATTTTATTTGTTATATAGTTTCCTTCATTCTCATCCATTCTGCATCATTTTTCTAATTTTATTGAATTTAACTGCTTTATCTTCTCTCATTCTTTTTTATCTTCTCTGATTCTCTCTGATTTTTGTCCATGTCCTATTATTCAATTTTATCACCATCTATTCCCTTAAATTCATATCCTGTCGTCTTAAATTTTGTCTCTTTTCGCATTTTGCAGCCATTTTTTCCTATTCTTACTAATTTTCTCTCTCTCACTCTCCCTCTTCCTCTCTCTCCTTTTTTCTGCCTTTTGGCTCTTTTCTTACCTTTTTTTCTATTTTTTTTAACTTTATAATACCTTAATCATAAATAATAAAAAAATCATATATTACATAAAACACGCTGTAGCCATCTTTATCGTTGATGTGATCATGATTTATAGCATCGGTTATTTATTATTGTTTAAAAATTTAAAGAAACATTTTTGCTTTTTTTTGTCATACGATGTCATACGATGTATCAACGTAAACAAATTTTTTTAAAATAGGACGGATTAAAAAAAACTAAAACAAATAAAAAATGAAAAAATTAACAGATAAAGAATTTAAGAATTTTTTTCAATTTTTTGAAATCGGCGGCAAATTAATGATATTTTTAATAGCGTTTTTCATTGGCAGTGCGCACTCAGTGCACATTAAAGCCGTTGTATACTGATTTCTCTAATATTTAAAGATAACGCATTAACATATTAACATAGGATTTTAACATATATATTTTATTTTCACATATAATACCTACCAATGACGACATATTGCTCTTTATTTGCAAAAATATGTTGCAAAGCGATTGATCCACTGCCAAGCACTTATTCGCAAACTTTCGACAGGATAGGTTACAAATTTTTCCGTTTCTTTTCCGT